ATGAAAAAAAAATATTCTCATAACATTTTCTTATTTCAAAATGTAGTGGGATTGATAATAGAAGATAAACTAAATGAGAGCATGGTCTTGAAGATATTACAGCATGTTTCATGCTGTAATATTATGTATTATATATATATTATATATTATATATATATAATATAATATAATATAATATAATATATTATATTGTTATTTTATTGTTACCAGGCAGATCTACAAAGTTGCTGCCAATATATTGATTCCATCTTTATATTTCATTATTACATTTTAAAAATTATATTCTAATAATTCCCTCCCTTTATTTCCCTACTTTTTTCCATGTCACTGTGGTATTATAGATTCCCTTCCATGTTTATTTCTCTTTTCCCACGTACTGTTTTGTTCTGCACCCATTCAGCTTTTTTCCATGTTCTTCCATATGTGTAGTACCTTCATGTCTGTTCTATCCGCTGTGAAAAGAGAGGTCTTGTTTTCTGTCTGGACCTAGACAAATTAATTCTTCATACCTTTGCTCTGCTAAAATGAGTAACCAGGAACAGCAGGGTCCCAAACTGAAAATGTAAAACTTATGTCACAGTAAAAAGATTGAGTAAAGGAATATTGAAGTTTCACATGCCATTAACTCAGTTTTATGAAGAGTTTTGAAGTTTCTTCACCCTTTTGTTCAACTGTTGTTTTACTACTTTCGTATACAGATTATTAGATCACATTAGATTATTTGTTTCTATTATACAGTATAAAGAATTTTAAATTATTGCTAATTAATCATTATTGTTAAGTCAGTTAAGCAATTATAAACTTTCTTTTACATCGCATACTAGACAGTATGAAATATTTGAATCTTTACTCTGCTTAAAATTTAACTGTTAAAAATAATATTAACTCTTGACTAAATGTAAATAATTAATGATTACATAGGATTCTGTGTTTTCCTTTCCTGACTATTTACTGTTGCTGTCTGCTGACATGGCCATTCTTCACTTCTAATCTCATTTAGATGACGTCTGTGATCTCAAGAAGATCATATAGATTTTAAGGCGAAATTTTAATACCTCTTTAATGAAAGCCTCAAATACCTTGCTTCTGTTTCACTGCACAGCTGAGGAAGATTTTTTTTTGACAAAACTCTTAGCTCTTCTTTCCAGTCAATGAACATATGTGTGGATGAGGAATTTTCTGAGTTAGAAGCATGGAAAATGCTGACAGCTTGGCAGCAGCTTTGAGTTTTTCAATCAAATTATAACTACTTTTGTTCTATTCAAGGAAGCGGCTTCTAAAACACTGCTCTGAATCTTGCATTTAAGTATCCTAGGAGTTCTGTTTGGTGTAATGTAGATAACAAATGTGATTTGAATCTTACAGGACATTTTGTGTAGTTTTGGTTTTGAACTAAGTAGCTTTTCATCAGAATCAGATGAAGTTGCTCTTGGAGTTTACAAATCATATAATACTACCCTGTGCAAATAGAGGGCAAAGTGAAACTAGCTATTAATAGACAATTCTACAGCTGACACACGTTTTTAGTTAGATTTTATTTTAAGCTGATACTTGGAATCAATGGAACTGCACTATCTTTAACGTGGAACAGCATAAATGCTCAATCAGGATACTTAGAGCACTTCTTTACTGGTACAAAATGTGTTGCCTTCCAGCCTTGTCACCATATTTTATTAATGAATAGTTATACAGCATTTTAAGAACTTAAAGCTATTAAACCAGTGAAAAACATTTTATTATTGTTATTGTTCATTTGAAATTCTAATTAAAGACATCAGAACAAAACAATTTGCTTCGGTTTGCTGGTCACACTTCTTTATTGTATTAATAATTTTATTAAATATATTATTGTACATTAAAATATAATGCTTTGCAGACAAGGTTTATTCAGTTCACCTTGGTTAAAGATGGCACTGAAAATGAAGCTTGATTTGTTTTTTTTTGTGAATCACACAAAAAGTCACATGCAAGTCAAGCACGTCACAAAGAAAATCTTACTCAGATAAAAGAGCTTTCTGGCAAAGCATTACAAAGCTGGTATCTAGCATCAAAATACTTATTCGAGTTACTTTGCAACTCTAAAGGAAGGGATTCGTCTTTCCAAATTTAAATTTGACATCCTGGCTCTATACTCAATGGAGGACATAGATAATGAAGACAATTATCACATTACTTGGACACCTGCTTTGGCTCATGTGCGTTGAAAGTATTTATTTTTCTATACTGATTGCAGGAGAAAACTTGCCTTGACCCATGGCTCAGTTTTAGATTAATTAACTGTGGTTTGATGAGTCCTGTCATTTTACTTTTGAACTTCTGGATTTAAAAAAAAGGAGCTGATCAGAGCTGGGTTCTGATCCTAAGCCAAAATTCTGGTTTATGAAATGTGTGATGCTGACAGTTCTTGAAAAGCTGTTTCACTACATTCTTTATGTGATGTTTGCGATTACAGACTAGGGGATTATTGATGGTTTACTAATGAAATATATAACTCATATGTAATTCTCATTTGTATTTTTAAGATAATTGTTTGCATGTTTGTAATTGTTAGCTATATGCTGTGAAAAATATATGTCTTTATACATTAGATATGCCGAAGTAGTATTTCTTTATTGTAAGACTGAAAAGTGTTGAATGAGCCTAGGTTAGATACAATGAAATGCCTTTATTACACATAACATCACTCAGGTGCAGTATGTTTTTAAAGTTCAGTTCAGTAACAGTCCAGACCTGAAATATTTAATATCTACTCTCAGTGGAGACAGAAAAGAAACAAGAAAAAGTACCAGATGAAACCCTTGGGTAAATTTTGTTGTCCTGGAAAATTACAGTTGCTTGAAATTTTTCTGTTCCTTTTGCTTACTTTTACACTGTTTTGTCTATTTAGTAATCTGCTACGCTAGCAAATTCTGAAGCATGCATTTCTTTCTCTTGAAAAGTGATACCAAACTCCAGTGTAAGATGTTTCTAGTTTCCTGTCTGACGGTACTGATAAACTCACAAAATACCCCACATCAGCTGTTTTCAGAGCTGCCTTGACACTACCTTCGCTTAACTGAAACCCAGAAAGAATATTTTACTGACTTTTTTATATGGGTACTTGTGTGCGTGTTGTGCTAAGAAAGACAGCAACAATACAAACATTCTGCAGGACAGCTTTCTGTTAGGCTTTTTAAAAGCATAGCTACAGCTTAGAATATATTCAGATGTCACCATCTAAACTTTACAGTGACCACTGACATAGGGCATACTATAAATTTTAATGAAGATTTATGTTTTCACTAAGAGAGCTACTTTATTTGAAATTTAATTGTAAAGTGTGATATTCTTTATTCAATTCATGCTTAATGTAATACTGTCAAGCTAGTTTATTTAAAGGTTACATCTTCTTAGGTAACACAAGTATTTTCTGCTTGATTTGAGCAAACAAAAATACTAGTTTCCTCCTAGAGGGTGTAAGTTGAGAGCTGAGAAGTTTCTTCTGGTCCCTCTGAACAGCTCAGAAACACATGGATGAAACAGGATAGCCATATATTCCTCTATTGCCATGGTACACATTCATTTTTGGATTACAAATAAAAAAGGGGTTTTTTTCCTACATTTCAAATGTTAAAAAATAATTCAAAAACTTTGACCATTTAACAGCAAAAGTATCTACCTCTTTCTTAGATTAAACATTTACAAGCCTTAGCCTAAATAAATAAATGGAGTGTCTCATTTTAGGCCATCCATTTTTCCTTGCCATCCAAAACATTGGACTGGTGTATGCTTGCTCTTTTTGCAGTTACACAATACATACTTGTCACAAATGTGAAAAGGGAAGAAGGCAACTGGCAGTAGCGCTGCATCCTTTCTTTTCCTTTCTGTATATGAGGTAGGGAGGGAAAAATATCTCAGTAGATATTTCATCCTCTCTGTCACTGGCGTGTTTCTGATGAGAAACATATTCAAACCTGACTGACATTGGCAATCTATCCTGATTGTGCTGAAATATATGAACATATGTTGATAAAATATATATGCAGACTTATGCTTTGCAATATATATAATGGGATCAGTATAAAATCTAGACTACCTGTAGACGGCATTAAAAAAAAAATCTATATATTCCATGTATTTGTATCTGGACATCCACATTTGTATCAGGTATATCTGCTATGAAGATTTTTTTACTGCTATCCAAAGTCATGAATTCTAAATGATCTTTGGGAATAAAATCAAAAAGACAGACAAGGAAAAAAAAAAAAAGTCTTTTTTGCAAATGTTCATATCTAAGACAGATAATAGCCCACAGTTTTAATAAAAGAAATTTTAGGATGGGCAATACAAGTTAAAGAAAAATAAATTACTCTAAATAACTCTGGCTGTAACAAAACCCTTTAAATCATTGGCTATAATTTCTAAACCAGAGCTTTGAGTTCAATGGTAGCTGTGTTTGTATCAGTTTTTTAATTTGGATCAGGACCGTGCTTTGAAATTAATTTCTGGATCATGTGCACTTCCCATGCTTTGGTTCACATCACTGAGTGGTCTTCAAGTACACAAGTTGAATTCCTTTTGGATGAAACTAATTGGAAAATATGCTACAGGAGTGCAGTTTACGTACTTCAGCCTGTAAGGCTCAGTCTGCACATGGGACCAATTTAGAACTAGTTGAGGTTAAGACCTCTGAAATGCATGTGTTATGCACTGGCTGTTAAACTCTAGAGTCTAAACTCTTATTGCATTGCAGAACTTGATGGCATAGTATGAATTGAGCAAACAATTTTTTGCCTGTGACAGGACTCTGCTTTTCTTACAGACTTTGTCTTTTAGTTCTGCAGCATAGGGTCCATGGGATTTCACATTCAAGAACTCAAAAGTTTATTAAAACAAGAACAAGCACTGTAGGATGGGAGCAAAATACCGACTTATTGAAGTGTGAATATAGATGTTATGGCATAAAACAATACATTTAACAAAACTTTATTTATATTTTCTTTTTTTTTTTTTTTCCCCAGGAAAGAACAGTAACAATTAGAAGACAAACTGTAGGAGGATTTGGATTAAGTATAAAGGTAGAATATTTTTTTTTTTTATATTATTCCATGTTATGCAAAATGTCTTTGTATATAGTTAATGTTATTTTTTCATGAGAACAAACTGTATTTTAAGAGTTTAGAAATAAGAAAGCAAACATATTCTAGAATGTTACATACAGTAGCCAACCAGCAACTATGCTGCCCTGTGGAATGGAATGCAATGGAAAGATCATTCCTTTAAGATTCAAGCTGAGCAACTCCGTAATAAAATTTGATACAAGAGCTGAGAAGTGTTTGCAACTGTACAGACTGTACTTTTGTTCAACAGCAATTTAATTTGTTTATTGATGAATGTCAAATTTCAGTGGCAGGCACATGAAACAGCCAATAAGTTCATCATCAATTCTCCTACAAAGAATATCACATTAATTCACTGCAATTCATTAGTGGGACAAAAACTGTTACTGCTTTTTCATATTGTTTATTTTGCTGTAGATCAAGCAAAGGCAACAATTTATCATGTTACCATATTTTTTCTTTCATCAGTAAGATTTAAGAACATATGTAAGTGTAGGTGATCCTTTTTGATGGAGGGAAGGATGAGGAGGAGGAAGCTTGATCATTTTTGTCATCATAATCTATGATTTTGAAAACCTTACCCTGGCTTTGAATCTCAGTGTAGACAGCGCAACATCAATTTTATCTTCTAAACACAGCAGTCCTCTGTCTCAAGATAGTAATGGAAAAAGTGAAGTGTACTTCACATGAATGCAAAGAGGCTTAAATTATGCATATAAAGTGAAAGTATAGACTTTCCTATAGAACTAGAACATCTACCAGTACTGACCTTATAAGAAGTGACTCAGAAGAAGGATTAATGTGCATTTGTGTTCTCATTGATAAGAATATTGCTGAATAGAAATACTAGTTCTTAAAATATGTCTTGGTACACTTGCTGTTATCTTGTTGACCCACTGCAGACCTCTATTCAAGGAAAGCTAATTGCTATTTTGTGGCCAAAGTTTCTCATGAGTTTAGTCAACAGCACACAAGTTATTTTCCTCCAATATCATTATAGGTTGCGATTCACTGAATAACAATGAAGTGATGCGTGTCAGTGTAAAATCAAGTATATGGGTGGACAAGGTTTTATTTAGCCGGGGCTAAGAAGTAACTGGTTACACTAAGGACTTTTGAAGTTTGAAGAACAAATCTCATCAAGGGTCACTAAAATTGTTGGTTTTTTTTAGTTATACATTACAATTGGTTATCTTTTAAAATTAAAATTGCTGACAAGCTTAAGATTATTTAAGTATCAGGTACATTGTATAGAATAAAATATCATTGAGAAATGTAAATTAAATGTGAATGTGCAATGGTCTTTCTAAAAGTAGTGGAGCAAGATATTATAAAATTTTTAGAGCAAGATATCCATTATTCAGAACAAAAATTTTGGAAGTTGCAAAAATATTTTAAAGTGCCAAAAAAGATTGTGTATTTGGCCTAGAAGGTAAAAAGCAGAGACTCATCTAACTGCTTAAAAAAAGCTACTTGTGAGATGGATTTTTACACATGATCTGAATTTAAGCCCTTTACAAAATTGCACTCTTTGAAGGTTTTAAAGAACAAAAAACCCACCTGTTTTGTCTTTTACTGTACTTCATTTTACTTAAGTTAATGGTAAAAGTGTGATTGAATTTGAAGCAGAACTGATCTTTTCTACACTCTTCAGAAGGAATTATTTTCTAATTTCTGAAGCCCCTTTAGAACCCTCAGTAATAAACCTCTGTGTGTAAAAGAATAGCCATATAGTTAGATGTAGAAATTGATGTGTAGTGTAGTGTTTATTTATCACATCTCTGACAAGTCTGAGATGTAGGCATTTGACACAAGAAGCTGCTAAGTCTATGACTTCTGAAAAAACGGCATGTTTCTCAATAATTGCAGTGTAGTGTTCTTGCGGATTTAGGCAATAAAATTGATAGCTGATTAAATAAATTAAGGTTTGCAGTTACAGCCAGCTACTAGGGCTCTACAGTGCCATTTTCCTGCCTGTGTTTTGATTATTCTTTTTAAATTATGAACAGCATCACACATCTGCTGAGATTCAATTTGACTTTCCAAAGTTTGACTTGATCACAAAATCTCTAAAGCAAGCATGTGCACCTCTCCTGCTCACATTTATGCACATACTTAGATGATTCTCTTCCTCTTCATTCATTCTGTGATTTTTTTTTTTATTAAGACATTTTCTCTGTGTTTCAAATCAAAACAAACAAACAAAAAAAGGCTAGAAGCCTTTAATTAATAGATGAATCATCTAGCTTTTAGTTAAAAAAAATATCTTTTCATCTTTAAAGGCTTGTGTACTTGCAGAAGCTGGTGTTGGATGCATTTTGGGAGTGGCATTTCGGTTTCAGCTATGCTGTTCTACAGAAAAGGAAAGTTTAAAAGTGCCAATTAACATTGATGTGTTATTGTCCGTATTATTTAATTGCTGGCATAATTCCTGGCACAGTTTTAGCTTACACCAACTAGTATTATCTAAGACAGTCCGTGAACACAGTTCAGAGCTTCACATGGACAGTTTCCAATAGCCAAAACCTATAAAGTCAGTCATTTTCATGGGAAGATAGTTTATCCTCATAGACATGAAACATATTGTGCCACTAGACCTTAAAGCTAAAACAAGCAGGCCCATTTTTGTTAGTGGAATGTTGCCTTTTAGTATGAAATAAAAATGTCCCTGATATTGTCTAACTCTGAGGATGCTAAAGTCCAACAATTGGTGTAATCTTTTTATAGGTTCTCTCTGTTAGAAAAACAAAATAGTAATTTTCATATTATACTTGGAACCAAACACAAAAACAGAATTTGTCAATTAAAGTTGCTAGTTTCAGTTGTCCTATTTTTCATATGACTAAAACTTCAGAAAAAAACCCAACCTTCATATATAAAAACTGGGATAAGAAAAAAACTGTATCATGTGACATTTTGAAAGGAGGTGTGGGTGACCTCCCACCAGTAGTGGCCAACATTCAGGACAGTGAGCTTCAAACAGCTACCAGTGAATAGAGCTTGCTGTGCCTCTTCTAGCAGGACCACCTCTGCAGGTGGTCAGCTACCTTTATTCCAGGCTTATTCTTGCCTGCTTAAGGAAAAATGACAAAGAAAATTGACATTACAAAGATTGGTGTTAGAATCTGGTAGAGGTCTGAGCAGTTTAGACTCCAGTACCATTACTTGACATATTTTTGTTCCCTCCTCTGATCTGAGGTTATAACTACATGTCCGTACTAAAGGGAGGAAAAAAATGAAACAATGGAAAAGTGGCCTCTGTTCCTAGAGGTTTCTTCAATAGGGTATCTTCTAAGCCTATATAACCAGAATTTAGACATGCATACACTTTTGCTTCTACAAGTATGGAGGATGCATGATGTGAAGTTACAGTCTCAATCTGAAATAGTATTCACAAGAAGATGCAGAATCTATACAGCTTTTTTAGCTTGCTGCAAATTGCTAATGATGACTGGGTATAGACAGGTGGTCAACTATTTTATCTTTATCTTTTGAATTTTTGTTACCTAGAATAGCAGTCAACACCTCCTGTGACTAATTTGAAAGAAATCCTACATACTGGACAGGCTGGGATGCAGTGAGGGGAGATCATTTTCTGAAGTAGGATATTACTGAATGCTTCTTCAAAACTGCAGTGTAAATTGATTTAGGTAGATATAGTGAGTGAGAGAGGAATAATTATGTTGTGTGCATTGCAGGCTGGCTTAGTAATAACAGCAATTTCCCTCTTCACTGAACAGCTGAGTATAAGGAGGGACACCATTTTACTGGGAAGAAAGGACCTATGTTGGCTCTGCTGACCATTAAACCCTACACTCATTTGCTGAGCATCAAATGTCCTGGATAGTGCAATCTCTGTGTAACATTAGAGACTTACGAAGGGAACCGACACAATTATTTTTCTGTTTGTTTGACAAATTTGGAAGAAATTAAATGTGCATGTGGCTAAGGAAAAATTTGGAGGGTGTAGGTTAAAACTTATAAATTTAGTGAGCGTAAACTGATTATCTTGAGTGAAGCCAACTTTTACTATTGTTGCTCTGGTGAAAACCATTGAAAAATATTCAACAAGTTATAACACTACAATTTATTTAGTCTGACAGAAAGGAAGGAAGCCTCATGATGTTTGTGTAGTGAGTACTCAGCTACAAATATCAATACGTTCTGTGCTTGCCTACATTCATCTCTTTCAATGCAAATAGAACTTGGTATGTAATTATTCTGATATTACTGAGATCCCTCTTAACTCAGTGGTTTTGGGATGATTTACACTGATAGCCACTAGCAGAAGGAACTTTAATCCTATTTAAAATTCTGTGATTTCACAGGAAATTTATCTTTATTCCATGACAGAAATAGGTGTTGAGTGCAGGAGTCTGTTCAGTTTCCAGCAATTGGTTATTGCATGAAGAAGGGATATGTACTATTCCTTAGGATACCGAAATACCCATGTCAGTCCTTTCCACACCCCAACGCTGAATGCCTGGACCAAATAAAGTCATTGTTTCCAAAGAAAAATCTGGCTGCTGAAGAGGAGTAAGCAAACTCTTAACCAGAATTCCTAGGGAAAATTACAGTGTAGCAAACTGTCGTTTCTGATGATCTGAATTTGTACAGTTTACATTCAGGCTTACACTTTGATGTTCTTTACTGAGGAAAAAATATTTGTGTCTCTGCGTATATTTGCCTTTCTCTTCCTTTGAGTTTCCTTTTTATTTAAGGTTTCTTTTTAATACTTTATTCTTAAGCACCATGAATGTTTCCAGTCCCAACAGGATAAATTGAATGAAGCAACAGCGCTGAATTGCTTTCTCACTGTTGAACTACCATCCAGCTTTCCTTTATTTCCCCCTATTTAATGAACACCTACTGTTCCATTTCTTAAGGTTTCTTTTTATGTTTCTTGTTACTTGTCCCACTGCTTTGCTCACTCTTTGTGCTTGTATGACAGAGACGGAAACAAATAAAGGGTACTTTTGAGATGAAAAGTCCAAACTTGCTTTTCTTGGGCTTTTGTTTACCTGTTTCTTGCCAGCATGAAAACTAAGTGATCACAGTGTGGCTGCCATTGTGGTTCGATGGCCATTTTGCTTTTGCAGGACACCATTTCATACACTAAGCTCTACAGAATTCACAGAAACTGATGTCCTTTCTCTTCAAGTCTTGTAGAGATTCGAACAACATTCAATTCACTTCCTGAGCTGATGATGTCAATTGAGAACTTCTGTATGAGAGGCAATAAGGAATTAATCCAAATCAAATATTTATTAAAAAAAAAAAATAAAAGAGAGGAAATGCAAACCCAGAGTTATTTCCTCAGTCTCTCTGAAAACTGCAGTTAGAGAAAGGGTAAAATGTAATTTTAAGGCATTCAATTCACTTCCTGAGCTGAGGATGTCAATTGAGAACTTCTTTATGAGAGTCAATAAGGAATTAATCCCAATCAAATATTTACCAAAAAAAAATAAATAAAAGAGAGTCTCTCTGAAAACTGAAGTTAGAGAAAGGGTAAAATGTAATTTTAAGCAAAACTATATATCCAGTTACTGATGAGATTGCCATTTATTCTGTTTTCAGGGTGGAGCAGAACATAATATTCCAGTGGTCGTTTCTAAGATTTCCAAAGAACAAAGAGGTGGGTGTCAGATTAGTACACTGTGTTTTGACATGCTCCTTAAAGCAAGGTGGATTATGTCTTGAGATTCTTTAGGAAGTGTTAAACAAATGCTATTGGTTTACCATTTCTCTCTCTCTCTCTCTTCCTCCAAACTCTTCTCTGAAGGAATACAGATTTTGTAAACAGTATTCAACATAATTTTTTTAAAAAGTTCTTATAAAGCATTATTTTAAGGAGAGAAATAGAAAGGTATTTAGAGAATGTTTGTTTTTTTTTTTTAAATAAACAAGTTAATGGTTTTATGGCATTTATTTCCAAATGGTTGTTGCCAGGAATCTGTAGCAGATCAAATGTGTGGCCATTAAAGCACGGTAACACAAGAAGAGAATGCATGTCTTTTTATATTGGTTAGTAGGGTAGTACTCAGACAGGACTGGGTAATGGCAGAACCTTGATAATACCTTATTTCAATATTAGATGCTGTGCTGCGTAAGCCTTTACAGCTGCTCATACATAGCAAAACTGGTACTGCATAAGGTCTTAACCATACTTATTTTTAATAGAAGCAGAGCTGGTACCGAATCCCTGTATTGTTTTTAACTGGCAATATTTTGAAATTATTGGAATGATACTGGGAAGATGGATAATGGTTAAGCGGCTCATGATGTGTATAACGATGATAGATGAAAGTTGTGAATCAGTATGAATATGGTGTATTTAATATCTCTGTATGTTTGTGTATATTTGAGTAAATTTGTGTAAGGTCAGAAGGGTGAACTTGGAAATATTTTCCTCCATCTGTAATGCAGTAATTCTAGGATGCTACTTCTGCACAATTAAAATATGCCAGCATAAAAAAATCTTATATTCACCCACACAGATAAAGAGAGGTAGAGGGGAATCAGCATATTGAGAACTGAAAGCCAACCCTGAAAGGCAGATGTGAGAGTTCTATGTAGGGAAGCTGTAGAGTAGCATGGAATGAACCCCTAGGGAAGGCAATAAGGTTAACCTTAAGAAGTTAAACTTGTGACTCTGTTCTTTTCAGTATACATAAAAATATGCAATACATAATAATGTGGCATATATTACCTACATTAGCTATTAAAATGCTATTAAGCACTGCAGGAAAAATAAGAAGGATAAACTTGAGTTAAATTGAGCGCACAAAAGTGCACACTGTTTTCTTTTATTTTTGCCATTATTTTTTTGCTGCAGTAGCTGATGCATTGTTTCTAACCTCAGTACCTAGCTGAGATATAATGTCCGTTACTACTTTCAGTAAAAACAGTGCTGATTTTTAGAGAGCTATTTTTGAGGGACATCTCTTGCGAAGGAGACTATTGTCTTGGGGTGTAGAAAATGTCATGCCGTGTGTCTGTACTAGGGATCTTTGACACAAAAAATTCTGTTTGACCCAGAACTTGTACCTCAAAGCTCTGCAGGCTTGCTGCTCCTCTCCTCCCAGTTGATTCCATCTCTTTCTTTGGACCTCAAAACACAAATGTGACATTTGATGCAATTCTTAAATTAGAATGTCTATCCTCCAATAATTTAAGCGTCGTTTGTTACATCTGGCTAATAAGACCAGTCCTTCAAACACATACTCGAGCATAATAACCTATGTCAATATTGATTGCAATTTTAGAACTCATGTAAATAAGTAAAGTTTTTGGTTCAAGGTGCATTCTAGTCTTTTCTAGACAGTCTCTTCTGTGATGTTTCAAGTACTTTTGATAAATAATCTGTTAACATTCCTCAGTTTTCATGTTAGGGGATATTTATTTCTTTATAGACAATTCATCTGTGTTGTATTTCTTGTGGATTTATGAAGTATAATTGCATTAGATAGCTCTGTAAAACAGCACAATATTTAAGAATACCAACTGCAGAATTAAATTTTGTAAATTTCCTTGTGATTTATAGGGTATAGCTTATTTTTAAAAATCAAATTCAGTTTGGCTGGTTATTTTGTACAATATCCTGATTGTCTAGCTCTTCAGCATATTAAGTGTTATCCAGCAGGAATACTCCTCTGAGTTTATCAAAGTTGCAGGACCTGAAGTACCTTTGGTAAAAGCTTACGTGTTATACTTGGCATTCTTAAGTAGCTCTGGAGTCTCCATGTTGCTTTTTCCTCAGAGTGTGTAAGAAATGATCTCTCACAGGCATGTAGGACCTAGTCCTGCAGCCATTTTCTGTTCAGAAAAGTATGCCATACCTCACCATAATGGTCTGAAAGGTTCTAGTGACTGATACAACATGTTTCACAGTCTTGTACTTGGGCTGGGTAGACTCTTTCATTGTAACACTGAAATGCCAGTATTTGGGGATTTAAAAAACAACAAAAAAAGTCCAAATAATTTATTTGGGACTTTTATGTTGGGTTTTTTATGAAGTTTTTGTTTAATTTTTTTAAAATATTATGTAAAAACATTAAATTAAATAGGAATATATGTACACATACATGAAATGTAGGATGTTTTGTACAGAATGAGTGAAAAATATGCTTTCTGTTTTCAGCGGAACTTTCAGGTTTGCTCTTTATAGGAGATGCAATTCTACAGGTGAGTAAAATTGCAAGTTCTTTTGTTTATATTTTTCTAGAAAAGTGAAATGAAATCTATGCTTATGAAATGTAGAGTAAGTCTTCTCTTTATCTTTTTAATGACAGATTAATGGAATTAATGTGAGAAAATGCAGGCATGAAGAAGTGGTGAGCTTTTTGGTTTTTTAATCTACTTTTTGTATTTTGTAGTTCTTGAGATGATAGTGTACACTGATAGCAATATGCTGGTATCAGTTTTATTATTGTTATCCCTAAATAAATATGACTGTACCTTCTAGCACGGCAAGCGACTAAGATTGCAATCTTAGTGCAATTGCTTCTTCATAGATTTGTTGTAATTGCTCTTCTCAGATAGGCTTTTCTATATTAAAGGTGATTATTTTATTATGCAAATTTTAGCTGTGTGTATTCCACTATTTCTTCTTCTGGCTTATAGCTATCAAATTGCACCAGTGCTACACCTTTCTGGTTGTGTGAGGTCATTTCAATTTCAAAAGCTGTAATTTGCACTATGTTGGAGATTCGTTGTTTGGTTGGTTTTAATCCTATTTAAAAATTGAAACAAATCTATTTATCTGCATTTTTGTTCTCTGGCTGTTACTTGTGAGGATGCTCTCCTACTTCAGTTAAATTGTTATCAGTACAGGTTGAAAATAACGGTGTATTGAGGAGATTCCTTCTAGAGAAGCCATGTATATTTGGGAGTTCTGTAGTAGGCTGGTTCCCTTGGTAAATTGGCTTTGCTAAAAGTATCATGTACTTTTGTTATATTTGACTTTTTGACTCAAGTACTTTCAGAAGTAGGAAACCCTATATTTCAGAAAAGAGTGCCAGAAATGAGAAGCTTATAAAAGAAATTATCTTTAAATCCTGTGTAGCTCCATAGAATTTGTACCTGTATTTTTAAAACAATATGGTAATGTTATATTTGAAAGTTTGCTTTTCTAAAACCCACTTTGCCAATTCAAACATGCTCTATATTTCAAGCAACATTCTCTGACAGGACAGATCGTTGAATGTATGCCATTCAGGTATAGAAAGAAAGAGTTAATAAAGATGAAATTCTGATGAACAAGTTAGTACAGGCTGAAAGAGTAGATCACTGCCCTATTCCTCAGAGTGCTTTTGTGCACTGGTTTCATGTTAAAAATTTGTGCTGCAAATCACGCTTCATTCATCAGAGCCTTCGTCATACCACTTTCTGTATACACAAGTTAATAGTACTTTTAAGCTTTGGCTGTGTAACAGTGATCTGATTTTAATCTTTTATGAGCTTACTTCAGTTGTAAAGTTTAATATGCATTAATGTGGTAAATCTCTCAATGGGATTTAAATCGGCTTTTGGAATTTCAAGACATGATATAAAGATATTAGTTGAAACGTAGACTTGCACACTCAAAGGCGTATTGAAAACTACTAAGAACACTGATTTTGAATGTGTATTTATGCATGCACAATTGTTTTAAAAGTTTAAGAAGCAGATAAATTTTAAATTAAATCTTTATTCTAAGAATAATTCTTAAGAATTAATAGTAAATATTGAGTAATATTTAAATTAAAATATGCAGAGGAGTTATAACTATAGGACATAAAATAAATATAAAAACCAAAATGAATTGACTCAGATAGTCTATTACAGAAACATTCACTATCATATGTTGTATATTTGTGGAGTAAATTTGTTGTAAAGCCTTCTATAGTAATGATAGATATGGTTATGCATTGTGCAGCAGTCTGTGGGTTTAGGCATAGGCCTAAGTAAAGGGCAAGTACACCAACAGCAGGAGTTATAGGTGGGATTTCTCCTGTGGCTTGCCCTTTGCAGTTTGAGTCGTTTAAGCACTTCTCTCTTGCAGGATCTCTATCAAATACAGGATCTGTAGCTCTAATCTCAAGGTAACAGAGAAAATAGGAAGTGTGTGGAGCATAGTTGCTGGCAGCAGGGAGTTGAAAGGTAGTGGAAACTTAATTTTCAATCCTTATTGGATCTAGGTACTTTTCAAATGACTATGCAAGGTACATGAACAGTGAGCTTTGTCTCTTTTCGATTTTTTCTGTAACTAATCAAGACTTAGCAGGTGTCATGTGAGAATATACTAGTGTTTTGGGTTGTCCTAATGTCTTAGAAAATATTCATCGTAAACCAGGTGGATTTTTTTTCAGTGTGTAAAGCTGGAAATCCCCATGGAAAATTAAGACTCCTGTCTGCAGCGTGCACCCTATGAGTATTCATTCTTTTTCTAGATCCAAAACTTCTTGCTGCTTGCAGAAATATTTTAAGTGTATGCCATATCTTCATAGCTCTGCAATGCAAAGACCTGTGGTGTAATCACTGCAGCCTGTTGTATTACACCGATGATTAGTTGGCCCTGGTATTTCACCGTGCTTTACTGATAACTGTACTATGCATATAAAATTATTTGAATTTCAAAATTAGTTTAATCGTTAGTGCCACCTTTCATAGTAGGGAGAATCTTTTGCCAATATATAGTTAACTTAGTTGGTTTAACACTTGTGGGCACCCCTTTGTTGTCTTTATCATCTTCAATTAGTTATTAGATCTGGTGATACAGTATTCAGTGATGCAAAGGTCCGGTTACCCAAGAAATATACTGAAGCCTGAATTGTGAGTTTCTATCAAAGGCTGAGTGCCAGCTTGTTGTTTGTCTTAGGTTGTAAAGACTCCCTTCCCTTATTAATTTTTCCTTTTCCAGTAGACTCTCCTTTACAGTTTACAACAAGACTTTTTAACAACTGAAATTAAGATTATGCATAGACAGACCTACAAGTGCAGACTTCTGTCTAATTACTGTGGTCCAACAGTGTATAATTTGTCAATCTGAACCCCTAGCCTTTTAGAGGCTCACAATGGATGTGATTGTTCATAAGTCTGGAAACTAATGTATCTGTAGCCCTTAACTACATTTATTGTCCAAACAAAGAACAAAGATAGGCAATCACCAACATAATGCTGATCTTGCAGCACATGTGGACATTTTTGGTATTTCTGGGGCTAGCAGCTACACCACTAACAATGGATAAAATTTTGGGATAGAGTGAGAGACCTTGGTATGAGCTATTTCCCCTGAACCTACTGCTGAGTAGCTTGGAGTAGGAGAATACAAGTCAACTCTTTTGGTAGTTTCATACTACCAAAAATCTTGTATCGGATCCACTGCTCTTACTCTTTCCAGGTTTATAGTGCACCAAAGCATCTGGGGCCCATGGAGAAGGAAGAATTTCAGTCAAATGAATGCTGATATGTTTAAGATTATGCCTCTGTTCTTAACATTGTGCATAAAGCCTCTCAGGTGGTATCAACAATTATAGTTACATATCTTAGCATCTGTTTTTCTCTTAGGAAATAAAAATAGAATTAAATCAATATGGATATTAAATGATTTTTTATTTAGTTTATTTGTAGAAAATTCAGGGAATGTTTTTAATGAAAAACAATACTTTGTACGTGCCAGTTAACATGGCATTTGAGCACTCCTTGGAAAGCAACAGGAAAAGCTCATGTAAAGATAGATAGGTATCAAGACAGCACAGGCATTTAGACTTTGGTGGATTATGTGTAATGCTAGCTACAATATGTAGTACCATGTAGTCTGTAACTGTGCTAGCTCTCCATGAGTCACGTATGTTATATAAAACATGGGGATTGTATGATATGAAATATAGGGATATATATTCATATGTATATATGAAATATAGGGATTGTAGTCACTTAACTACAATCATGTGCAGCCGATGAAACTCTTACTCTGATTTTTTTATTTTAAAACTACAGTTCCATTCAAACTTGCTTTTAAAACCCCTTATGAATATTTTCGGTAATATTTGTCATACATGTTTTTAAGCAGAAGAACGAGCATATTGTATTTGTAAGATAAGACAGGGCTGAAAAGCAAATGATCTGAAATCTCACTCCATCTTGACTTTGCAAGATGTGTCTTTTGGTAAATTATGTTTTTATGTTGTCTTTGTTTCCTTAACTGTGAAACAGAGACCTACAATATTATCAGGTTTAGCTCACTGAATGATACGTACTTCAGAATCCGTTACAGAAAAGGAGATCTACATTAATACTGTGGTGTTTGGTGATGGTGATAACAGCAACCTACAAATACAGATTACCACCTTCTCCTATTTCATGGCAGAGATCCTGTCCTGTGTTTCCCCTCTAGACTGAATGGTGACTTTAAATATTGAAGCTGCATAGTCAGCGCTTCTAAGAGAAGACTATAATCAACCTGCACTTTGTAACTTTTGAATTTAAAAGTGAAAAGTAAACTTTTTGGAAGTGCAATATTTTCTTCATAAGAAGAGGCCAAGTTACTGCTTTTTCCATACAGCTGCTGTTTTCTATTTGAGATTTGGGTAATAAAAAAAGTGCTAATGTCACCTTAGCTACCTTGGTGCAATTAATGAAAACAGCTGTTACAATGTATTTACAATGTCCATATTGTTAATGAAATTTGGAGCTAATAATAATCTGTCAAATATTTCAGCATTGATTTGAAATGAGTGTCCATCAAGTGGAAAAGAATCTAGCAGGTGTAAATAGTTTATTCCTTTTTCCCCATGTGGTGGAAATTCCTTGGATAAGGATGTATCCTGGTGCAGTATTCTTAACATGTATTCAGCTGCTTTTCTAATCTGTTTTTTGCCATGGTTTTTTAGTGTTTAAATAATTAATTTTTGTGCCAAACTCAGTGAAGGCTTGAATTTATTCAAGTACTATGATGTTAGGCTTTTAAAAAACATCAGTGTGTTGTCTTTCCAATTTATGTATTCATTTTTCTCAAGACACCTGTAGATATGTTAGTAATTTTATTAAGATTTTGTCTTTTAAAACTACTCATCAGTACTGCTGAGTTTTAATAGAAGGGAGTAGAATATGCTGGCATGATGAATACCAAGTCTATATGATTAATATTGTTATTTCCTTATTACATACATATGGTGGTCCTCAAAGCAAAAATCCATTACAGTTTAGTGGGATAGACTGAAAGATTGAATCATCAGTTATGGTAAAAACATCCTTCAAATAGCTGCCATTGGTGTCATGCAGCTCTATTAATGCTGAAAGCCCGAGCTGCAAAGATGAGACACAATTGAGCAGTGGATTTAAAGCGTGTGCCATCAGACATGCTGTGCTTGTGACCTTGTTTACATTGATATTTTACTCAGGTTTCTTTCTTGCCTTAGGAAGCAAATAGAAATATTCCCATGTTTCTCTGTACGTGTGTGTGTTTTACCCTGCAGAAGACTTTTTGAAAGATTTCATTCCGCACAGCATCTTCCAGTGCTGGATTTATTCCTCAGTTTGACTTTGGTACAGGGTCCATTTTTTCTTTGTTGTTCAGAGATGTAATACTATACAATAATTAAAAAATAAGGAAATGTGGCTGGCTCTCTGGTAGAGCACCAGAGTCCCAATTGTTTTTAATCTGTTTCTGTATGGTTTATATTTGAAAAAGCATAGTTCGCTTTGGCTAGGTGTTTGAGCTTGTTGGTTTCCTCGGACTAACTATTCCATAACAATCTGGTGAGATTAGACAAGAATAACACAGAGAGCATCCAAAGCCTCCAAAAGGCAGAGGAATTAAACATACAAAGGACTCCAGTTTCCAGTAAGAAAACGAAAACCTTCTATAGGCATTTACATTATCTTCCCTGGTCACTATTAAAAAAAAATAATTTACCCATTTGGACTAGAAAATACTGTCCTAGTGGCAGCAACAGTGTTTTTCTTTATGTGGTATAGACTGAAAGCAAATGTTCACCTCTAAAAGGCAACCTGTATATTTCTTATGGCTTGACATGGACCCAAGAGAACACACTGGACAAAATAGAGCATGTGTACTGATTTAGCTAGCCAGAAGGAGTCATAAAAAAGAGGTGTGCTCAAAGAAGTTCAAATGAGCACACACATGGAGTCTTCTGACATTTTTCCAGCAGTTGCAATACCAGATTTAACTCTTCAGAATTGTCACTGTTCTGGCTGTAGTAAAATCAGATGAGTTCCAGGAAGAAACGTTTTATCCAGGGGTTATCAAACACCTGTACATATTTTTAGGTCTTTTTTTTTTTTTTTTCTACAATGGGTCTTTGTCTTTTGACAGTTTGTTCGGTGGAGGAGGAAGAGGAAAGGAGAATGGACTCTATATATTTTTCAATAGTATCCAGTGTTGGACTGTTCCAGCCAGATACATGGAGGTTTCCAGATGGCCCACCCCATACTTCTCAACCACTAGTATGGTACAGTATGGTACTGGTGTTTTGGTATCTGTTTGTCAGCACTGGGCCACTTTCTAGATGTATACTTTTTTCTTAGCATTGCCCTCATAGAACTGGTGTCTTTCTGCAAGTTCAATTTGGTACTGCCTGTTTCCCCTTAGCTGTTTTGCAATGTGGCCAGTAAAACAGTTTGCAGTAGTAAGAGGTTCACAAGATCACAAGAAAAAGTTTGGTGCAGGTGTGGTTACGTGGCCAGTAAAACAGTTTGCACAAGAAAAAGTTTGGTGCAGGTGTGGTTATAAAGAGAAGAAACTCTTCATTAAATATTACCCGTTCTTTAGATTTTAGTGCAGGGACCTGCAGGAGTTGTTACATCCCTCTTCTGTTAGTACTTCTCTGAGTGAAATGGGAAACAGCGCTCTGGCTGAAGCGGCGTTACCAGGATAATGACATGTATCTTTAAATGAGGTCTAGCAAATGTACGTAGCTCTATTCCACTTCACATGCCCTTGTCAAGCCTGTACTGATTCAGAATATTTCAAAGGTTCTAATTGTGCTCACCCATTAAAAGGAAAGTTCAAGGGAATATTCTATTCTACATCAAAAAAAATTCCCATGTTTTAACATGTTAGTGTGCAGTATAAAGTACTGAGGATAATTCTAGATTCTCCGAAATATTGAAATGCCTTCCCTTCCTATGCTATTCTGAGTATAATATATTTACATATTAAATGGATAGAAAGACGTGTTTCACAAACTCTTTCCCATATCTCAGTTGTCTGAAGGGTTTTTGACATCTTTTGTTCAGTCATATCTACATGATAAATCTAATACAAGACACATTCAAAATCCCCTGTGCAGTTCAGGTCATAATATATTATTTCTGAATTACTGATTGCAGAGAGAAGTGTTGGTGAGAGCTAGCATTTACTGTAATGAATGCTAACAGATGAAATATTTTGTTTAAACATCTTTCACCCTGAAAGACTGCATAAATCATCTTTCCATCAATCAAAAAGTGAGATTTTAGAGCAAAATGAGTCACCTGTGCAACAATAACAACAAATCTGAGACAAAGTATTATTTTTTTATATCATTAAAACACTGGGAGCTTTGGAATTTGAAAATACCGAGGCATTTACGTTTTTACTTTTACTGCCACAATTACAGCTTTTAATATCCTTGAAGGTGTCAAAACCAAAATCTCAACAGGAAAGTGTTGTCTCAATGGGAATCTCCTTTTTTGAATAATCTTTCTGTATAAATGCTCCTTAGAGAGCTTTGAGTTACATAACATCAGTACTGTTTTGCTTATTTTCTGAATTTTTGTGGAGACTGACAGCACAGAGAAAATGGGAAAATCAGAATTATTAAGGTTTGAGGGGCCTAGACTTTTTCTAAAAGTGAGGCCTGTAGTTTGTGGATTCATTTGTGATATGCTGACATACTCACCTAGCAGCAATGTAACAGAATTTTACAAAGTATTTTGTTTTTCTTTCATTGTTGATGTTGCAATTTTTGCTTCAGAAAACACATCCACTTCATATAAAAGTCTGTAAATTATGTTTTTAATAAGATTTTATAGTCTCCAATGGTAATTAACTGCTGGCAAGAATGGATTTCTGTGGGGCTATTGCCTAATTAGGAAAATAAGAAAAGGTAAAATAAGGATTGCAATGGGATAAGTAGCCTGATCATTTTGGATGAATATATCAGATTTGTGCTTAACTGTGAAAGTCATGAAGACCTTATGCTATAAAGTCAATAAACCTGTAATTCAGCACATTTTCATCATTATGCTGAAATACAAATTAGCTTTTTTACTTCTTTGGAATTATATGTTAATCTCTTTTCCTTCCAAAATATCTGCAAATGTCCTCCAGTTAATTAATATTCAGTGTGAGTACCTCCAAACTCAGTTTTGCCAAGACCCTTAAAATTTAGATGCTGATGAAAATGATCCTAAAAATGTTAAGGCAATAGTATTTGTGAAAATTTCATATCACAGGGTAACTATGTTGGATCTCAGTCCAGCAAAATACATATGTGTTTGTCTAAAAGTATGAATTTAAGCATTTTACTAAATTTGAGACTTGGTTTTTTACAAATATTTATGAAGAAAAAAGTCATTTTCTCAACTTCAGCTAGATGCACTGCAATTATTCTGCGGCAGAAAGGCTGCCATTGCATTAAATGGCATGAAAATATGTTCTTATGTGTTTTTTCAGCTGAAAACTTTTACCACTGAGCACAGTCCCTGCAGTACTTAAAACATCTTTCGCGGAGATTAGATCCTGAGCTGCCAAGAAGCTCAGCAGAGTTAACTGCATATATTGATCTAAAACAAATACAAATTTGTCCAAGAATTATTCTTTATTTCATTGTGAAGTTGATAACATTTAGGACTGAACAAACAGGAGTGGGCTTGTACATTAATATTTATTCAAATTTAGAATTAAAATTTGATTTCAAGCTCTTTAAGACCATTTTGTATTCATTTTTCATGAGCATTTGTATGCTGGTGCTTGATTAGTGTGACTATTCAGGAAAAGTAAATGTTAAGGTCATATTTGCCAACAGAAAATTTTATATTGAATATGTAAATGTGAAATTTGCCACTAGCTGTGTGTTTGACCCCGGCCTTGCAATGGGATTAGTGTGAGCAGCTCATTCTGGGACTGATCTTTCTTTTTTTCCCCCCAAACTTGGGCTCTGCTTAGTCAGACACGATACTCAGGCCATGTTTCCAACAATCTTAGACCTATCTCTCTTCATAAATGATTTAAAAAATTAATAATGTACTGCAAAATGCTGTGTCAACTGGCTGACACTCTTCAAGCATTAGGAACAGAAGCAACAACTGACATGTTATGCAGTTTAATAATGTGTATGCATTTTGAATATTACTAATTACTAATCACAAATCGCTTATATAAAAACTATAACTGTTTAGTAAATGTGTTAGAAATTTCATATAGAACTCAAATCTGAGAGCACTTATTCTGCTAAATGCAAAGTGTGGGAACAGTTTGACTAAAGGAGCAGGGGATTCATAGATTTAATAGATAAGCAAGCAGTTTCATTGTTTTGTTAGTACTTAGGGCTAGAAAAGTCAGAGACTTCACGTTCTTCGCTATAATGAAAAAAAAAGTTTAGTATGATCAATTGTGAAAAGAAAGAACTCCAAATCCTTTAAAATGGATAATTTGATTGGAATTATTTCCTCCTATTTAGGAGCACACATTACCTGCAAAATTTGGAGTCATTTCAAGTTATTGTCCAGTTTCTATAACAGCTTACTAGAAAAAAAGCATTTCCACTTTCAACTGCACTTTGATTTTCACTCTTACTTTTTTAAAATAAAAAGGTTATTGTTGAAAAAGCAAAAACTCCTATCTGAAGCTATTTGGAATTAGCGTAATGTATTCTAGCAAAAGAAAAACATGTATAAATTATGTGTAAAATGGTTCTAGTGATCTTTATTCCAATTGTAGCTGGGTACTCTAGGAGTCATGCAGATAAATGTGGAACCATTTGGTTTATTCTGTAAATATAGCTGATGTTATTTTATTTTTCTTTATGTAACATGGATAATGTCTGTAGTCCTTTTCATTATGCTGAATATTTTATGCAACTTTTGTATAGGGGATGGAGACTACTAAATGACTAAGTCATTCTTCTAAGGTTTTCCTTGCTAGTTGCTGAAATATGGCTATGGTTTTTGAGAAGCCATGCACAACATTTTTCTTCAATTCAGCTTATGGTTATCTGCTGGAATCTGTTGTATTCTTATGCAGTGTTGTTCATACACTGTACTTATTTTTTTCTGGAATAGTGAATGCAGTATCATGCACTGTATGCCATAATACCTGTAGGCCACAAGCAAAATCTTCGTATTCTATATAAAAGATACTGATATTATTACCTTTGTGTCGGTAGGACTTAGCATTTTTGTGGCAGCTCTTATCACCAGAAAGTCTCATTCCAGTGTAACCCGTCGTTTTTCAGATTATTGGATGGTAATCAATAACTTGCTTAAAGATGTGTCAGGGAAATCTGTGATGGAATATTTAGTATGCTGTATATTATGGTATACTAAATGGTATATTATACCCTAAGTATAATAAGAGGATTTCTCTTATTAAATTTCTCCGCTTTCATTTAGAGATAGTTTTACCCATCTTTTGAAATCTTAAATTCTCATTAGAGAACGGCAATATGAAGAATTGCTTGGTAGCCTACAGAGAGTTAACAAATTATGATTCTGGCTTATTCTTACTACTTTATATTATATTGGATTAAAACCCACTAAAATGATACTATTTCCTTCAGTAATAAATATAGATTTCACAAGGATGTTATGCAGATATGAGTAGGAGGAATTTCTATATATTATCTGTGTATTAAAATAGGGCTTAGGTTTTACTTAAAAGAAAAAAAAGTGTTTGAATTTTGATGTCATGTATCCTTGAACTTTAATATGCAAAGCCTCTGGAGGTTGCTTTAGTGTTCTACAGGTGTTTACAGGTTGTTTTTTTTTAATATTCTCCATAACATATAGTTGAATGGAAAAAAAACCCACCACAATCTCAGCATAGCCTACCATCACAGTTTGTGTCCGATTATTATGAGGTCCAAAAGCCTTGCGTCTTAAATAGGAAAGCTTTTGTAGACAGATAGGATAGCCTATCATTCATCTGGCTGTACACACCAGTGCACACAGGATCCTGGGCAACCTTTTGGAAAAGCTGTGTAGAAATCAGTACATGCTACTGTTATAGTGGTACAAATGCTTCTTCCATTTCAAGAAGATTCCAATTTTGTTTTGTTTATTAAGAGGATTGCACATGTCTACCAAAGCAGCTTTAATCAATGTTTTATTTGGACGGTGTCAATGAAATTCAACCAAAAGAAAATCTGATTCCTGTGCAAATTTCTGAGCTATCATACCAATGAGAGGTTTAAGCAAATATGTACAATTGTAATTGAAGTGTGTAGTATTGGTAGAAGATAAAATGTTC